AAATCAAGAGTGAATACTAATGCGAATACGACAGAGTACGACTGCGGATACGAGTGGAACAGCAAAATGAAATGCGGATATGAGGTTTGTGCGGAAATCATCGCAGCAGGTAGCTGCAACAACCTGTTGTGCTTCACTTCACCACACACGCAATGAATTTAATAAGTCTTCTACAAAATTTCCAGAAGTGAAAATATGTCACCTTAAGTGTAATAGCAACACATACTTACTCTTTACTCTCCCTACATATAAAGATATAATTCTGTTGTTTACGCTTATTTCTTTTACCCGTTGAAGTCAGTTCGCGAATCAGTGTTACAGGGAATTGGAATTGTACACTTCACATAAACCCATTGGTCTCATTGAATGTTTTGATGAAATAGTAAAGTACAGTGAAGTTACATGTTTTTATTGGGCACATTCAAGATAAGATGTATGCTAAAACCTGCATATGGATCATTCTTTTATAATACAATTCAGACTCATGATTTCCGATTGGGATGAACTTTTTTTTATAAGCTCCTTTTATAAAATGAGAGTTTTACTTCGGAAAAAATTTTTGTTATTTTTTTCCTAGGAGATATGCATCCAAGGGGTTTTGAGAATTGACATTGTAGACACATTTTCAAAGGGCTATATCTCAAGTTCTATAAATGGCAGGAACTTAAAATTGCGTTTTAAAGATAATTAATTGAATTAGTTTAAGCAATTAAAGTTATATATATTTAAGTACTAATATTAACTGGTAAATTAAATAAAAAATTTTTTCTCAAAACATGCACCCAAAATTTTCATTTTTTATATTTTATTAAGACTTGGTTTTAAATTTTATTGCGAAATAAAAATTTTTGAGACACCATTATTTTTTGAAATTTTTTAATACTTCTTTTCCCCACCAAAACACATCAAGCACATGCGTACCACATTTCCATTGAATGAATTTTCAAAGAATATACTACAAATATTCTTATATAGTATTTAGTAATGTAATGATTTCAGGACGATATTATCTTTAGAAGTACTTTTAAAATTAATTCAAATTAATTAACAAAAAATTAAAAGGAGGAATACGTCCCAAAAATTTTAAACTTTTAGTTTTAATTCTGATTACCCAATAAATTCTACTTGAAAAATATATATTTCCAGTGTGGCATTGCTTTTCAAAAGTAAATAAAAAAATTAATTTATCAGTTGTCCTTCATATTACTCATACGCACCATAGTACCATAAAATCAATTTTCCAAGAAAAACGACACAAAAATCTTTACTTCTTATTTCTGAATTGAATTTTATACAAAATACTAACATTTTAAATTATTTCCGCATAATTTCTTTTTTTACGAATTTTAACATAATTAAACCTGAACCACTAGTTCAGCTAGTAGTTCCGCACTAGCTGAACTACCTACTCAACTGCAGCACATAATTTCGCCCACCTCTTTTGGTGAAGTGTTATTCTGCTATAGTTGGAAAAACACTTTGCACTGGTCAGAAATGTTATTGGAAATAAACTGTACCGAACTATTAACAAAATATTTTTTAAGGGTTTCAACATTGATTTTATTAATACTCATTTCGTTATTGATACATAATCTGTAATGTCTGAAGAAGAAAATATTTTTGCCATTTATACTTTTTGCGGATTGGCAATAAAGCAGTGATACTTTAATCTCTTTTTAATTGGTGTTGCTGTTTCGAAGCAGTATTTATCTTCTGCTGCTTCGTAGTCTCTTAATGTTGATAAATGGCACACAATAATTGGCAATTCTTTCGGTGTTTGAATCGAAATACGTATTCGTTGAAAACTATCACTTGCAGCATTCCTCTTTAAGGTACCAGCTAATAAGCCGTCGTATGGTCCTTTGTCGTGTAAAGTTGGGAAAAATTGTCATCCTGCCTGCACACCAAAGTCCGCTTTGTGATGAGTTCAATTAATAAAATTCTTTTTATTTTTTTATTTTGAACGCGATCCATCGGAAAAATAAACAATTTTTTTATAGCCGCAATTCTTTTTATAGCCGCAATAGCCTGTTTTGGAAGAAATGTACGACAGTTATGTTATGATATGGACAGTCAGATATCTAGACAAAATTTTTATTTGTAGTTTTTTATTTTGAAGACGTTGGTGTATTGCAAACGGATTAATTGTTGCGTGATCATTATGCCACTAAATGTCTAGTACAGAATATTGAATTAGAAAAGCACAATATTTGGAGAAATCACACAAAGCAATGCATTCACTTTCTGCTAAGTTGTTTTTTGTATTCTTCAGAGAATCTTCCAGTTTTTTAACGACAAACGAAGGTAACAGCAATTTGTCTAACCTGTCTGTTAAGAATTGCAAATATTCTTTAACTGGAGATGTCAAAGCTTTCAATGTGGTTCTAGCTTGACGAACTCATTGTTTATATGTAACAGTTTCAATATTGTTGTGATCTCCAGAAGGCGCAATTTCTTGAAAAACATTCTGTGTGTAACGGTAAGTATGCGAATCATGTGGCGCAGGTAATTTTTATAGTCCTTTAACGGATCTATAGTATATGCAGTAACTGATTTTATAGATACTCCATTTGTCATTAATTTTACGTTTACACATATATGTCACTTGTTTCTTCAAAAACGCAATACTGTGGTCGTCGAGATGCAAATCAAGTAAAACCACATTTGAGGTCTGAATGGTTTAGTTTGAAAAGATTATGCAGTCCTTTAAATTTACTTAGAATAAGTCGGTTTTGCATTTGGGTCCCTCTTCCCGACTCAGTTACATGTTTTTCTAGCAATTATCGACTTTTTAATTTTAGATCTTCTAATATACCTTTTACTGAAAAAATTTTTTTAGCAGCAGTGATCATATGCTTTATAGCGCTTGGGAAGTAAGTCGTGATCGTTTGGAAAGACCAATTATGCATTACACTCAATATTTTTGTTAACATAGTTTTATCTGCTGTGCCATAAAGTTTTTCCTGTAGATTCTCTAAATTTGATGCGGGTCATCTTCCTCATCGCTATTGTTGGAGTCATCGGGAGCAATATTAAAAATTTTAAATGCATAATTTAAAAATTGAGATGACGCGAGAGTAATTTGTTTAATAAAAACGTATTAAAAAGTTACATTTTTAATACTTTTTAATACATTTTTAATATTTAATTCAGAAATAAAAAGTAAAGATTTTTGTGTCGTTTTTCTTGGAAAATTGATTGATTTAATTGTGGTGCGTATGAGTAACGTGTAGGACTCCTGATAAATTAACTTTTTTAAAATTACTTCTAAAAGTAATGCAACACTGGAAATACATATTTTTCAAGTAGAATTTATTGGTTAATCAGAATTAAAACTAAAAGCTAAAAAATTTTTGTTACTGAAAAATCGTGTGTATGTGTTTAGTGTGATGTGAAGGATAAATTAATTTTAAAAGTACTTCTAAAGATAATATCGTTCTGAAATTTTTTGGTTTTATGTAGAATTTTATTCCTAATCGAAACCAAAAATATTGTATTAGAATATTTGTAGTATATTCTTTGAAAATTCATTCAATGGAAATGTGGTACGCATGTACTTGGTGTGTTTTGGTGGGCAAAAGAAATTTAAAAAAATTTCAAAAAATAATTGTGTCTTGAAAATTTTTATTTCGCAGTAAAATTTAAAACTCAATCTAAATCAAATACAAAAAATGATTATTCTAGGATTGATATTAATACTATTAGTATATTATTATTAATAATATAAGAACTTATATATCAACAATCTTAATTGCTTAAACAAATTCTTAAAAGTTCAATTAATTATCGTTAAAATGCAATTTTAAGTTCCTATCATTTATAGAGCTTGAGATATGTGAGATATGAAAATGTGTCATGGGTGCTTATCTCTTAGGAAATAAATTACAAAATTTTTTTCCGAGATGCGATTCTTCTCATTTTCAGCTAAATCGGAGGTCCTGAGGTCAAAAAGGTGTCCGATTTGTAAAAAAATGATCCATACATGCTCTATCTTAATAACCTCTGTAATCGGTAATATAGCTCTTAAATTGCTGACATCAATTACTGAGACAAAATTTAGTGAAAAATTGTTGACGTAAATAGAATCGAATAACTAAATTATTAATTGCAATGGAAGTTTTAATAAAAAATTACAGTTGCACGTAATTGCTAATATTGGCGTACTATATTTACAGAAGCAATAAATACTTCACTCCTCTAATCATAACCCAATTAATCTAAAGAAGAATGCTACTGTTGAAATGACTTATTAAGTAGGTCCAATATATTGGACGCTGATAATTTATGATTTTTGTGTATGTTTACGAAACAACGCAATTTAAACTCAAAATTCGACATTATTTGTTAGTTATTTTTTCTCCAAAGAATTTTTAGTGCTGTTGTGGCAAAGCTCGTAATTGCCACCTGCAATATTAATAAGAAGCGGACATATAGCAACTCAACTGCCTCGATTGCATAATTTTCAACAGTGTCAGCTGTTAACTTTCACAACGTAAATAATTATTTCCGTTACAAGTAATTCCTACTCCTTCTTCTGCAATTCAGTTTTTCTTTTCTCACTAAATGTACCAAACGAACTCGAGAAGGAAGACATGGCAAGTAAATTGTTGTGTAATTTTAAAGCACACAAACTTTTTCTACGTGGTAAAATAGGAAATTTAAAAATTCAGTAATGTTTCAAACGTAGACTCCATTAAAAATGCATGCCAATCTAGACAAGAGCGCACTTAACATGTCCTTCTTACATATACGAGTACAGTCCACACCCCTTAAAACCGGAAAACAACATGCCAGCTTAAGCTGATCTTAAATCAGAAAAAATGTTAGTAAATAGAACACAAATCAAAAACTCCCTAAAATTCAGATATCATGTCTCATTAAAGTGTACAATACACATATTACACAATAATAACAAAATCTTAATAATAAAATGCAGGACTTCCTTAATTTCGCATAACAGTCACTATAAGATTAAGGTAATATATCGAAAATTAAGAGAATTAGGCATGATTCCGTTGCTTTATTAGAAAGTTCTTTAAATCTGCTAGAATTTGGTTCCCCATTAATCTGCTGAATAAAAGAAACCAATTTAAGTTGGAGCAACAGTAGAAGTAGAAACATTCCTTCTACAACTTATCGCTGCTGAAATTTTGTAAAATTTTTAAAATAAGAGACATTATTGGTGTAAACTCTGGTTATCTTGGATCAATCACTTCACCGCCTACGTCTACCCTTGCTTCCCTTTTTTGAACTTTTGCTTTGCTTTGACGTCAACTCTGCATTTTTCGGAAACTTTTTCATCTCAGTGTTATTGCGCTGTGTAGCGCACAGCTGAGGGAGGGCCGCAGTCTTGCTGTGATACCACTGTAGAATACAATGATTAAGTAAAACTAAAGGTAAAAACACTATTGTTACCTCTTGTAGATATGGATGAATTTGTTTGCATATAACGTGCGTAGTTATAGCACATACCATGGCATACGCTGATTTCCACTGAAACACACTTACGCAAGTATTTATCTCATGTGATATATAAATGCAGTGCACGAACTGCCAATACATCAACCCACTGTAGAACCAAAAGGATGATGGATACACCAAGCCAGTTATTATCGCAATAAAAAACTGTAGTTTATCGTAGTCGAAGCAAAAATTGGAGTGCGTTTCTTGTACCCTCAGTTCCACTTTTCGAAGAACACTTATACTAACATACAACCAAGCGGCTATTGCTATTGAGATAATATGTTGGTATATTCGATTGGTGTAGTAACGCACAACAGAACCCATGTTTGCAGGATAGCTTGATTTCTTGAACTATTGATTGAAAATTTTTTGTTGACGTTAACCTTAAAATTTTAAATTCGATATAATTCAAGCTACTACGTTAACGTTAACAGTGTTGGTAATTATAATATAAAGTAAGCAAACACAGTCTACAAATACTGCATTTACACGAGAATTTTAATTGTAATTTCGAATTATTTTTGATTTCAATGGCTAAACAAGTTCGAATTAAGAAGATTTGTATGAGAATTGTATGAGAATTGAAAAAATCGTGATTTTCGTGATTTTATAATGCCAAGTTGATTTTAATTTGAAAAGCTTACCGTAGCACAGTATTGTACGGTATAAACTTATGATATTCTGAATAGTTTTGGGGACCGAAGATATTTTCATAATAAATAGAACTAAACTGTACACAATAAATATTTTGTGAAAGAAGTTACAAAGTGTGGAGATATGAAAAATCTGACAATCAAATTACAATAATTTGTAGTGTGAATCGATATTTTTGCTTTTTAATTTCAAATGTCAGTTTAAAATTTTAGAAAACTAAGTTAACAAACAAAACTACTGCGTGAATCCAGTATAAAAAAAAATTTTCTTTATGAGTGAATAATACACAACAGTATGTAACGATTCCTCCTATTCGTAACTAGTGCCAGGGTCTGCTTAGCCGTTGTCCATGGTTCGTTGCAATATTTTATATTCCTTCCAAAGTTACACACAATTTTTATAGCATAATTCAATTATTTATTTCAAAGAAAACTGAAGAATATAGTCCTATAATATAATGGTAGTTTATCAATCTTAGAACGTATCCTCCTTAAACATGTATATCTGCTTTCCTAACTGTAAGATGTGTTACTCACTTGTAAGTCGCAGAACAACTAGCTCCACTTTTTTTATTCTGTTTCTGCAGTAGGTGGAAAGTATTGAAAGTCACAGTGTGACACTTGAACCCACTAAAACTACCTCTGAGGAATGAATATGGAAGATTGCAGCCACGTGCAGCGAATACAACCCCATTCCAGTAATCAAGAGAGAGAGAGAGAGAGATTAGAGCAAGAGGCTTTATACTTAGTAGACTAGGTTCATTTAAACCAGAAAGCATGGGCGTAAGTAAGGAAATTGGGTGTCAGTTAAGGGGGTGGGGTTATTGCATAAGCGCGGGGAAACTATCAGTAGACTATGTGGAGGAATGAGAGTAGCACTCATCGAGTGGCGTAAGGCCTAGACTAAGTCCGCAAGGAGGAAGGCTGCATCCAGAAAGATGGACTTGGAATAGTGCATGCCGTTAGGTTTACACTTGTAATTTGTGCAATCGGGAAGGAGCTTGCACTCGAAAAGACGGAAACTTTCCATCTGGATGGAAGAGATTACAGCGTACGTGAGTAAAGAGCGAATGAGCTGCTTATAGCGGAGCAGTTTAATTTTGCAGTTACGTTGGTTGTGCCTACGAAGGGTATTTTTTAGTTGCGTATGCCTAAACTGCGCATTTCGAATGACATAGTCAACGTGAGGGATGAAGTCGTGCCGGACTAACTGCTTTTTCATGTATTGTGTCCTTTTATAACCAAGCTGAAAGTCGTTGCTCGTTGTAGGTCAATTTTGTTACTCGTCCTTGGTTACTATTTTATTGTTGTTATTATTATTATTATTATTGTTGTTGTTGTTGTTGTTGTTGTTGTATCGAAGAAAATGATAAAAATTGATCTAATGTGATTTGCGTTGCTCGCCTTTGCTGGGTTTCATGCGCCTTGTTGTCGCGTTCATGTTTATGGTACTCCGCTTGATTCCATCTTCACAAGTATTGTTCAGGTGATACACCCTTTAATTTCTCCGTAAGTCCCACGTACCACACCTTGGAACATGCTTGAGACACTTCCAGAATTGCAGCTGAGTTTCTCGTTTCCATTGCTGATGGAATTACGTTCATAATTCTATGTACGTGAATTAATTTTGTATAGCTTTTGTAAAATCCAAAGTGAAGAGAATTACATTATTATACTGTATTATTTGTAAAATCCGGACTTGCAGTACACAGAAAAAAACAACACATTTTGAAACTATTTTCTCAATTTTCATTTATGGCCATGTTATGATTGCAGTCATGTCACAAGACATTCGCGTTGTCTTGATGAAGAATGATCCGAAGGCGCTTGTTTCCATATTTCCGTATTTTATTGAAGACTTCCGGTTGGGGTAACAAACGGTTATATACCATTTGAATTTGACTGTTTTACGATTCCGTAATGGTACAAGCGACCATTTCTTGCGATCAATTGTTCGAGCGCGAACAATTTTTGTTGGATTCGGTTTGTTTTGAAACACTTATTCAGTCGACTGCTGTTCACGTTCCGGCTCATACGCATATACTTAAATCCACGATTCATCACTTGTTACGATCTTATACTCGTATACGTCTTTTGAAGCATCGCCATTGTATTTGTTGTACATTTATGTGCACTAATCAATTTGAGCATCTTTTTAAGATTTTATCATGTCAAATGATGGGATCACCGCTAAATGATCGTGCAATATTTTATGTATGGTGATGGAACTAATGCCTAGGGTTCCTCCTCAATGTCAATCTCACAGCCTGTTGCATGACGATCTTGCATTATCAGTTATTGCACAGCATTAATGTTTTATGGCACAACAACTGAACCACTGATTTTGGACGACCTTTACGAATTTCGTCTGATTAAAATCATTGTATCAGCGTTTCACAGTAACCTCCAGTTCATTGCCAAATGTGGAATTAAGTTGATTGATGTACTCTTGTTTTGATAATCCACGTCGAAAGTCGTAATATATAATCGCACAAAATTTTTGTCGCATTAATTCCATTTTTTCGCGAACACTTAATATACAAATAACTACAAATAACACAAATAACGTTCTTTTGACTAAAAAGTATAAGGTAGATTATTTATAATAATGTCAAACTTTCGTATGGAAACGTCAGATGACACCTGACAATAGTCATGATTCCGGGGTTCAAAATATAAATAGTGACCACCGTAAGATTCATGAATCACTTGCCATTTATGCTACTCTACTTAGAAATGCGTACGCATTCTTATGAGGCTGATTGATTAGCACTGGCATTCGTTAACGAATATAATAATTTGAAACGTTGAATATGTTAAAAAAGACCTTTGGTGATTTGTGTGTGTCGTGACCACGACTATATGAATGGTTTTAAAGGTTCAAAGACGGTCGCACAAGCTTGGACCATGATGAGATCCCTGGCCGCCCAACAACTTCTGTTACTGAAGAAAACATGGAATCGGCGAAGCAGATCGTGTTGGAAAATCCATGTGAACCGATTAGAAAGATTGCAGTGTTGTTGGGCATCTCATATGGTGGCAAAAAAGGTGAATTGGCCAAAAACCATCAACCAAGCTCCGTACTCTCCTAATATGGCCCCGAATGACTTTTTCCTCTTCCTCCGACTCAAATTGCCATTGCGAGAAACACGCAGTTGAAAAATTTTTTTACGCATTTTTCAACCTTATCGATTTTCAATGTTCAATTTTTAATATTAATACAAACAATTTAGAGTGGTAAATTTAGAAACGTAAAAATCGAATAAAAATTTCGGAAGTCATATGCTGTTTTCCAAATTAGTTCAAAATAGTGTTGTTTATTAACAAGTCAAACCAATATAGAAAAATTCTTTCTTTCAAATTATTTTGTTAATTTTAGAATGCAAATTAAAACAGCATTATTAAAAAATGAATCATTACTTTGTGCAAATTTGAAGATGGAAAGTCCACATGAGAACTTGCCTTAACAAAGTCCATACTTTCAACTCTTTTTTATTCAATCCAACATTAAATTTTGCATTCTTCATAAATATTTTGATTTGTGGTCCAACATTTTTGTTTTGTATCGTGTTTAATTTTAGCAAAAATAGTACGGGGGAAAAAATTAACAAGTTATTCGAAAACAGATTTTCGCTTCTAGAATTCCTTCACACCAACGACTGGCGCGAATGATATAGCAATAAAGCAATGTCGAAGCAAAGGAGATGGGGCAAACAGGGCAAAGGAGACGTCGGTAACAGATGGGTACCAAATGGTACTCAACAAAATTACTAACATCTATACAGCACTTTTACATAAGGAGAATATAGAGATCAAATATTTCTTCTGGGAGAGGTTATACGTAATGAATATTCCGAGGTGTTTTTATTCATTGACAATTTCTTCTTGTCTTTCCCGGAAATTCCACGGCAACGATTTACTTACTCTGGGATCTTTTCTGAAAATCATTATCTTGAATTTAGATTCGTAATAAGACCCCATTGTGAACAATACCTAAAGAGAGCTTCTATCATAATTTGCAATACATCACGTGAGTCCGCAAGTAGAACCACATCATCAGCACATTAAGTTTGTACTACATAACATTGTTTTAAGTATTTTATTCATAGTTGAAAAATCTCAAATGGTTTTCAATTTTTGGACTCAAATTGCGTTTTTTATTCATAACTTTTGCTAAAATAAACGAAGGTTTTGTGTTGGAAGATTTTGAAGCTGAATTTTTTCCCATTACCACTTTGTTCACTTACGCATAGGAGTTTAGCTTCTTAGGTTGCATTTTAGGAACAATTCTTTTCCTAACATATTTTTGATTACCTATGAATAAAAAACTGGATGTGTTTTGGGAACATTTCACTTCTTAGAGAGGTTTTGAGTTGAACACATGTTTTTTTATTGTTCGTCTTATTACCTTTTATTAACTATTAAAAGTTTTTTTTTAAACGAAAATATTAAATGCATTTCTCATGTAAGGTAGTTGTTTTTGTAAATTCATACAAAACGTGTTAGAGGTTTGGTGCGATTCGCATAAATATTAGCCGCGGGCCATGTTTTCGACAACTCTGGTATAGGTAATTAAATTCAAATTTTAATTTACGTACTAATTTAATAGTTATTCATATAGTAAATATTTAATAAATATATGTATACATTTGCTATTACACGTTATATGCGCATTTGGAACAAATAATTAACTACTGAACATGGTATTTGTACCGCAAC